TGTCACGGTTAGTAACGATATGGTACGTCACGGCATTCGTTTCACGTTCGTATTTAAGTCTTCTTTTTTTTTACCTTTTTTTTTTTTCTTATTTCATCTCGGCTCTTGTTTCATTTGTTGTTCGGGTTAAGCATTGCGTGAGGCCCCGTGGGTCCCCCGGTTTGTTCTGTTGGTCTGGGCAGTACCAAGAAAATCGTCGGTCCGGCCTCGGCTTCCGTTACGTTTACACTCTGTAATGCACGAAGATCTCGCGTGCAATAGCAAACGCATTCTAAATATTCATTGTGCAGCGGCGCTTGGTTATTTTTGGGCGGCGATTTTGAAAACGAAAAAATGGAAGGCAATGAGATTTTTGGTATATGAAATTACGTTGGCCGAGACGTTGCGTAAGAATTTTTATCATGGCAACGATCGAGGTTAGATTTTTGTTTTGAGTAAAATTGCCTTATCGAAAAAAATCTTTTTTGAGTACTCAAAAGAGGCGAATGATTGATAAAAAAGGGGTTGGGGTTACGGGAATTTTCTAGCGAATTTTGGGAATATAATTTTTTTGGTTTTCTCGTGTGGATATTTATGAGCAGCGCCTCTAGCGGGATTTCTTGTAACCCCGAGGCAGCGGGAAATTTGAATTTTTTTTTTTTTTTTTTTTTTTGTTAACGTTTGATCGAACTTAGACGTAATAATTGACTCATCGGTCACGGCAACGTCTAAATTTATTTTACTTACGTTGGCAGACTCTGGAGTGGAACTCCATGACGGTGAATAACGGTGTAATATTATATTGACTGACCTATTTGCGCTTATCGTGTTGGATTGCATGATTCAGTGTTCAGCGTTTGGCGTTGACTAGTGAAAAAGCCCATTAAAACGAGTGGCTGAGTCAACCGAGTGCAATTCAACAAGCCGGAACGAGAGGCCCAAGAGAGAGAAAAAGATAAAGCGGCAGCGTTCACACTGGCGGAGCACGATCGGTCGGCCATCTTTAAAAGATCAGACGTAGAGGCGGCCGGGAGATTGAGGCGAATATAAAAGAAATTATCCGTGGAAATATGCATGTTATCGAATCGACTGACATTAAAGATCGGTATTAAAGAAAAATGTATGCGGCGCCTTTGATTTTTGAATTTTTAAAAATTTCACAAATTTCAATAAACAAAATCAAAATATGGGCAATATCCATACCGGCTGGCCGATCGGTCATTCGATTCCGAAGAAAATAAATATGGATTCGGAAGTTAAAAATAAATTATGACAAAAGATGTTACTACCGTAGCGGACGATTTCCAGTAGATTGGACTGCGGCCAGGACGCAAAATTACATAAATAGCAGGAATCGTATTTTTCGCCTTTTTCAGCCTCCTTAAATATTTCGATCCCGAAACTGTTAAAAAAATTTTTTTTTCATCCGTCCGTGAAAATCTATACTACGTTATTGCATTAAAAGTTTCGCAAACCTACAATGCACGTGTGAGTCGTATAACGGACGTGAGATAAAAACGTATAATTTTTTTTTCTTGCATTTTCAAGGTTACGTACACGTTCAGGAAGCTTGAACGAAGTATAAATGGCAGAGCCAACGCATACGAGGAAGAAAATTCGTCGAAAGTCGTGAAGAGTCGAAAGTTTCCGTAAAAGGTAAAAAAAAAGGACGTTCGCGAGGTAATAATTCAAGATTGCCAGTCCGGGGTTGGAGGAGATATAAAGATCTGAAAGTTCATATGAGTAACATTGATTACTCATGATATTAAGAATTTTGATGTCGCGCGCCTGAGGTTTACTTAAGGCGCGATTATTATTATTACTATTCGTATATCGCAGAGAACCGAAGAGGAGCGAACGTGTATAACGATCTGACTTATTCATCCAAATGGAATTCATAATAGAGCACACCTCGACAAATTTGTACACCGCATTCTCGTTGCCTAACGTTCTGTTTGATTAATGCCAGAATGGGGGGTGAGGGATAAGAAAAAGCTATTTATAATAATGAGGTCTAATGAGATTGCCTTGAATTCGTTGTCTTGCCCGTCAGTGAGTAAGTATATACATATAGGTCCGAAAAACGAAAACGACCCGCGTGCATAATGAGGTAATGGAAAAAACGTACTGTATTAAAAAAAAAAAAATTATGAAAACAAATTCGTAAAAATTTTTCTAAGACGTGCCTATCCAATTTTCATTCGCTTGCCTTGAGAATGGTAATTTTAAAAAATTGCATAATTCAATAATAAAATTTTGTAATATCGACTAGGTTGAAATTCTTGGAGAAATGCTGGAAAACAGCGCTGAGGTCGACGCGGACTGTCAGCGGGGCGAAGTACGAAGGGGATTGAAACTGCACAGTCTGTCTCGATGCCAATACGAGATATAAGAACGAAGTTTACATACGGGGCTCTGGGTTAGACGAGTGAAAAACATCGTGGAAAAAATGACAGAAGCCAGGAGAACGCTAAGTTTACGTTATTCGGATTTGCGGAACGTGGCGCAGCTGCGTTTGAACGAGCTGCGCGTGGCGAAAATAAAAACACGTAAACGTTTTCGATTCTCGGTCGATCGATCATCTTCCAGTGAATTCTTCAAAAGGGGGGCCCACCGTTTCGTCGTACGTACCTGGGGCTGTTTTGATTTCCGTCGTCGGTCACGCCCCTGAAATTGCCGGCAGCGCCGCCAGCGGCGAATGCAGCAGATGCACGCGACGCGCTCAGGTGACGAAATTACTGCAACGAATCCCTTTTGCTTTCTGCGTTCGTACGTTTCCCGACGCGGCCATTCATCGCCAAGGGTGACTTCGCAAGAGCCGAGTGAAAAATGATCGGACGAATAGTTTGTCGTGCGTGAAAAATGATGGTTGGCCTAACCTAACTGGGCGAACCCATTGGCAGCAAACAGCTTCGACGCGAGGACGAGGAAGTGGAGAAAGAAGACGAAAATGGGGGAAGTAGCTGCAACAAACTTATATCCCAATATTTTCAGCCCGAATGATCGCGAATAATTCACCCTTAATGATCCAGTCGAAGGTTAGTTGAGGCGACAGGTCGAGTCTACGCTAGCGCCGCCGCGCGGCAGTTTCGCGAACTAATTTTGTTCCTTGGGTTTCTATTTCCTTTTTTTTCTTAATTTTTCATAAACAAACGTAAACATTACTCGCGCGATCGACTCCCTGGAAAATGCTACGAAGATTATTTTCCACCAGACAAAATCCCATTCGGACTGTAGTCTTCAATGGCGGCGCGGCAGTCGATATTAAAATTCTTCGTAGCCGCTCTCCGACAAAACACGAAACTCTGAACCGCGTGTGTGGAGACGCGTGTTGCGTGTACGCCCTTTCGAATCCTGCCACACGAACCCTACGGGGGCGCTGTCCGCTAACCCACGCGCGGGCTACACCTTTTGCATTCGGGAACGAATCGTGGGTCTCCTTACTGATGTCTACTGTGGGACCTCGTGGGACTTCATTGGTATGTGGGGCCTGATCCTTTGACTGAGTACGTGAAGCGCGACTGTGCGTGGTCCACACGACCTCTTGTTTCCACTTACTCCTTGCAGTCGTGTTTTTGTTTTTCTATAACGAGTGTGAGTGTGTGCGTGCAATATTTGAATTTTACGAATCCCTTTTTTTTAATAACTTTTTTTTTTCCCTAATCTTATCATAACTTAATCTTTCCAATGATCTGGCAATAATAATTAATTTAGGCGGTTTAAAAAAAAAAGTTCAGCGTTACGGAGAAAGCTGATATGGATTTTTGAAAGCGTAACATTTTTTTTTTATTCTAGATCATCAAGTTAAGAGGGGTCTGTCCCCTCGTAATGGTATATATACCTAACGGGAAGAGTATAATCTATTTGTTTCAGGATTTGCCGTGCTTATAGATGATGGAAATTAATGCGGCAGGGTTGGTATTAGAGCTCGTGTAACGGTACAGGTTTAAAGAACCGTAATGGCAACAACGAGTCTTTTAAAAATATTGTATTTTCAACGTTCTTTGTATATTTCATTATTTTTAACGATTCATGAAAAATAAAAAAAAAATCTTGAATCGAATGACGTTCAAAAGATTTATCGACTTTTTACTTTAATTTCTTTCGCAGCCTGAGAAAACATCTATAACACGTCGAAGTCAAGATTAAGCTAATATTTGGTCGACATTATTTTCTGGAATAGGATATAAGAAAGAGAAAGTGAAATTGCAAAAACAAATCATCGGACGTCTGTATACTGTGTCTCCATGGCTGTGGGGGGAAGGGAGGGGATCCCCACCCACTTTTTTCCTTATTTTTCTCAGTTTCCTCAAATTCATCTCGATGTTGCATCACTATTTTTTTTCCTCCAATCAAGCTGTCATTTCAACGTCACTTTTCCCATGCACCGATCCCCATCGATATGCGGCAACAGAGAGATAAAGAAAATGCTAAAAGAATGAAAAGAAAAAGAAAAAGTCGCAAAAAAAATTTATACGATTCCAAACGGCAAGAGTTTGTGTTTACATTCTCAAAGTTCGGTAGTACCGTCGCACCATACATTATGTATACACTGTCTCGTTTGCATATTAATCCGACATATTTATGGTGTCGCGGACGACGAAACGTTCTGCGCATGCGTGCACGGATTTAAATCGACCCCCCCCCCC